TGGGGGTCCGGGCGGGTACGCCCCGCCGCCCAGTAAGCGCCCCGGCGGCGCGGCCGGGGGCCGAGCCTGCCAAGCCAAGCCGGAGGTCGACCGGAACAAGGTAACCCCTGGGGGTCCAGCGCGCACCTCCAGCTTGCACCTTACTTCAGTCCGCCCCTAAAGTCTCCGCGCACCCCACCCTGCTCCATTCCACCCTGCAACTGAGATGGCGCAGCGTCAGATTCTATACCGAGCTTCACGCTCCAGCTCCAGGGTCTGGTGGCCCCTGCCAGCTGCCGAAGGGCAGGCTGGGGTCTGGGAGGGCGCAGGTTGGTGCACCCCCTGCTTGGGTTTCTCCCCATGGCCCTGGCCCGCGGTTTCCCCAGTACCAGAAAGCGGGGTGGGTAGGGCTGGAGCTGGGCTGGAGCTAGGAGTCCATTAATGATTAATCTTGGACACTGTGGCCGGACCCTGGGAAGATGGGGGGAAGGGCAGGGTTCTCTCCTCTCCCTACCAGCACCCACCAGATGAGGTGGTGTTGGGTGGGGGGAGTTGCCATCAGAGCTGAGGCTAGGGGCCTTGTGCTTGGGGAAGGCCCTGAGCTGTGCCTCACAGGCAGCATGGCCCCCAAGGAGAGGCTTGTGGGAGTGGACGAGTGCTGGGGTGCAGGAGGGGTGTCAGGAAATCCAAGTTTCCACTTCCTGAGCCAGTGTCCAAGAAGGGAGTCCAGATTGGTCTGTGCCCGGCGTGCCAAGCCAGCTTTTTGGTAACAGCACAGGGCACAACTGTAGTCCCTCCCAGTGAGGACCAGAGCGAAGAGGTGCCACACATCTGGCTGCTGTAATTCAATGGGAGGCGGGAGGGAGACAGCCTGACACCTGATGCCTGGATTGCTGCGGTGACTGATAGGGTGGGGGAGCCTCAAGACTGCGCAGAGAGGAGAACCCAGTCTCCTCCTCTGCTGAGGGGTGACCTGAGTTCTCTGGAGAGGGCAGGCCTTCCCTGTGGCTGCCTGGGCCTGGCTCCCCGTGAAGGAGGCTTCGCCACTATGCTTCTCGGCCAAAACAGGCTCAGGGGTATTTAATGACTTGCCCAAGGTCACATAGTTCAGAGGTGGCTGAGTTGACCACATCTTAGGGATCTTGCCCTGGCCCCAGATCTCTGGACTGCAGCCCTGCCCAGACCTCTCGGCGCCCCCTGGGGTCTTAGGCTTTTGAATTTGCCTGGGCTGCCCCCAGCCCCCTATTCTGGACCCTCCCCCCTTGCCTCCCCAGCTCCCAGCTCTGCCTGACACTCGGGGGTGGGCAGGCTGTTACCCTGGGAGCAGGCACAACGGAGCCCTGTTCCCAGCTGCCAAGTCCACTCCCTGCTCCTCACTGAGACTGAGGGGGAAACTCCCCGCGGATAAAGACCTGCTCCCAGGGCACCCCCTTGTCACTGGGCATGGGCCAGGGGTTGAAAGCACCGGCTGGGTGCCCTCTGGGCACCCAGCAAGGGAGGAGTGTGTCCCTGCAGTCCTGGCCTCTGGGCTGCAGGGACCGAGGGAGCCAGCCTAGGGAGAGAGGCGATGATTAACCTTGGAAAATGAGGGCAGAGGCAGGAATCCCCTCTGGCGTTTGTGGAGGCGGCTTGCTTTGCTTTTCTGAGACACAGACTATGGCCAGCCCTGTCTGTGAGCCCTGTCCTACTCCAGAAAAGGCAGGGGAGGGTGGGGAGGGGCTAAGAGGGGGGAGGGGCCAGTAGAAGCACCAGGTGAGGAGTGACAGTCGGAGGAAGTGGGCCACAAGGACACCTGCTTCCCCACTTGCCCATGCCAAGACAAAGATGAGATTTGGGCACCCCCAGGTCTGATCCCAGAGGTGCCCTGGCTGGGCCTGGGGCCCTAGGTGAGTCCTGCCTGCACTGTGCCAGTCACCCCGGATCTGAACTCTTGGCTCTGAAGCATGGGAAGTGCGAGCCGTTGGCAGGCCAGGTCTGCTTCCCGCCAGGTGGATCCAGAGGCCCAATCCGAGGGGCTGCATGCTGCTTCGCATTTGATCCTCGCTGTCAGCCTGTGAGAGGGTCATGAGACACAGTGGCCTTTTTTTTAGGAAAAGCTCAGAGAGGGGAGGAGCCTCTGCCTAGTGGGTTTACAGCCAGAGCACCTCAGACTGCAGTAGCAGAGAGATGGGTGGGCATATCCAGGGCATGGTGCAAAGCAGTGCTGGGCAGCTTTCAAAACCTTTAAGTTGCTGTATTATTTTTTTAAGATTTATTTAT